GCAGCGCCAGAGCCACCCTCGCCCCCTCCAGCACTCCAAAAAAAAGCACCAGCGAGCCCAGTCGGACCCCAAAAACCTTTATTTTTTTTCCCCAAAACGCAACCGCGGGGGCCGGCTCTCACCCTCCCTGATGGCAGGTAGGGCCCCCACCCCTCCCCAAAACTGCCCCCCCACCGCTGGGGCGGGGAACACAGACACAGCGGGGGCTACACCAGCTTCTTGGCCTCGAAGAAGCTCTTGAGGTGCCTCATCTGCCAGATACCGGTGAGGATGAGGATGATGGTTTGGGCGATGGACCACCACAGCACCCGTTGGTTGGTGCTCTCGCTCGTCATGCGGAAACGCTCCTCCCGGTACTGTCGGGCAAAGGAAAAGAAATAAAAATAAATCATCAAGGCGAGGGGAGAAGGAAAGAGAGAGGGGTTCACCGCCCTGGAGCCCTCTCCTCACCCGTTGGTAGTTCTGCTCCTTCTGGATCTGCTCGACCTGGTCGAGGAGCTGCCGGGCACGGAGCTGCAGCTCCGTCAGTTTGTCCTTAGCAGCAATTTCGGGGTAGTTGTTGGTGTGTTCGCCCACCTGGATATCCAGGTGCACCCGCTGCGGGGATCAGAGAGGAGGGGGACACGTCAGGGGATGGCCCCCCGCCCTGGAGCCCCCCGGTTACCAGTTTGCCACCGGCGAAGAGGGCCATGCGGGTGGGAGTTGGAGGGAGGCAAATCTGGTGCTCGCCCGGCGTGTGGGAAGTGAAGGTGAAGCGTCCTTCGGAGCCGTACTGCCGCGACAGCACCCCCTGCACCGGGATGTGGCCACCGTCACCCAGTGCCCACCCGGGGCGGGGGGCACTGGGACAGCCCCCACGGGTCCCATGGGCCCCCCACCCTGGCTGGCAGAGCACCCTGCACTCCCCAGGGACCCCCTGCCCTTGTTGGGGGGGTACACTGTGCACCCCAAGGACCCCACATTCAAGCTGGTGGGTGCCCCATACACCCCAGGGACCCCCTGCCCCAGATGGAGGGCACCCCGTATGCCCCAGGGATCCCCCACCCAAGACAGGGGGCACCCCATGCACCCCAGAGAACCCTTGCCTGGGCTCACAGGCACCCCAGGGACCCCCCATCTCAGCTGGCAAGCATCCCAGGGACCCCCTGCCTTCAGTGGCAAGCACCCTTTGCTCCCTAGGGACCCCACACCCAGGCTGGCAGGCACCCCATCTACTTTGGGGACCCCCCGCACTGACTGGTGAGCACCCCAAGAGCTCCAGGAACCCCCTGCCCTCATTGGTGAGCACCTTGGGCACCCCAGAAACCCTTTCCCCGCACCGGAAGGTACCCCAAGGACCTCCCACCCTAGCTGGCAGGCACCCCATACACCCCAGGGAACCCCAGCTCACAGTGACTGGCACCTTGTGCTCCCTAGGGACCACCACAGGGACCCCAAATCCAAGCTGTCAGGCACCCCATACACCCCAGGGATCCCTCGTCCAAGCCGATGGGCACCCCTGGAGACCCAGGGACCCCAAACTCAGACTGATGGGCACCCCAGGGACCCCTTCCCCTGACTTGCAAACACCTCAGGGACGCCCCACTCCAGCCGGGAGGCACCCCAGGGACCCTCACACCCAGACTGGCCTGTGCCCCATACACCCCAGGGAGCCCCTGCCCCAACTGGTGAGCACCCCACATACGCCAGGGACCCCACCCCCGGGCTGGTGGGTGCCCCCCCCCCCAGAGACCCCCGGGCAGAGGGGTACCCTGAGCCCCCCCAGCCCCGTACTGCTCACCTTGCCGTCGGGGTCCTTCACCTCCACATGCATGCCCAGCCCCGGGGTGGAGGGCAGGAACGACTCCGACTGCTTATCCCACAACTGCGTCCGGTAGTTCCCTGGGGGGGGGACGGCAGGTCGGAGCGGGGCCCAGCACCCCCAAACAGCCCCCCCGTCCCGTCCCGTTACCCTCCGTCCCGTCCCGTTCCTGGGGGTGTCCCCTTCTTCTCCCCACCCCCATCATTCCCGGGGGCTCCCCATTACCTCCCGGCGCCCGGTGGTCGCTCCCATCGCTCCGCCCAAGCCCCAGAGGTCCCTCCCGTTACCCTCCGGTCCCCGCTGGTCTCCTCACCGCCCCCTCACCTCACCTCACCCCACCCCAGCCCCCGTCGGCCCCTCCCGCGCCCCGCACCGATGACCATGGTCTCATCCGGGATTTCCTCGATGAAGCAACGCTTCTCCGTCTCGCCGATGTGGAAGTAGAGGCCGTGGGCGCTCCAGGCCGCCAGCACGACGGCGGCTAACGCCGCCCGCAGCGCCCCGCC